TCAATACTTTTGAATAAGGGATTTTATAAAGAAAGTGCGCACTGACTTTTGGAATCTTTTGGAAAGCTTCAACACTAAAGAGCTTAGGAAAAGTTAATAAGGAATAGAGGGTGAGTAAAGCAAATCAAAAGGGAAAAAGTAGACTATAACAATAAAACATATTCCACTACAACTACCCCTCCAAAAAAAAAACGACATTATTCTAGGGGCCTTTATAAATCAGTGCAGGGAGAAAAAAAAGACATAATTCTAGGGGTCTTTATAAATCTGAGGGCCACATTATATATATATAATTAAATCGAACAACGCCGCCGACACCCAGGTGCTCCACAGCGTGACGCCACAAATCACCACCACACCTCAAGCCACCACACATTACAACACCCGACAAATTCACTGTGTTGGTGTGTTTGCTTGCATTCCTTGTGCATACTTATTCTGAGCATTTTTTTGATGGTGCATCATCGGCTCCACAGACAACGCTTGGTCGGTCACATTTGCAATGCTTTTCATTTAGACCAGCTTTTGTTATCCAGCTGCTTGAGAATACGTGATGGTGCCCGGACCGGAGGGCACATGTGTCAACCTTGCAGGAGATATCCAAACTGTGTCATCCAACTGGGTTCAGCAGGACTCTTACTGGAAATGGGAAATTCCCATCAAGGCGCGTACGTTGCGACATGCATTGCACTGCAAATATACATGAAACTAGCAGCTCTGATAGAGGCTGCGAACTGGTGAAACCATAGGCAAGTTCCTAGAGAGCGGCAACACCACGCTGACTCAGATATTGGGGTTTAGGAACCCAAGCAACCAACTTTTGGAATGCGTGTAACAATGCAGCGCCTTGGATTATAGCATCGCAGCAAACATCCAATCCGAGTGTGGCGAAGACGTGGCCTGGCTCAGGCCTCCACAACGAAGTTGGAGATCCATTTGCGTGAGGCTGACTTGGACTTTAATGGAACGCCCTCCAGTAATGAGAGCAGATGCTTCCATTTTAGTGGCTTTGAAGTGAATTTGCGACACTCTGTCACAACCACCTCATCGAGCATCACTATGACTACCACCTCCAAAACAGCAACGTCCTCCACAGCGAGCACAGCCACTACCACCTCAAGCACGGTCACAGTGACAGTCACAGCCTATCCATCAGTTGCATTTAACGAGATTACAGGAAATACTTGCGAGGATGACAAGACTTCCTCTGGCCTGAGTTCGGCTCAGCTTGATGAGTGCAAGCTGGCGTGCTTCATAGAATCCACGTACCTTGTCGTCAAATTGAGGAGACTTGAGCAGGAAAACCAGCTTGTCAATGAATGATGCACACATGTGTAAGGTGACTTGCTGCAGCGGAGATGGAATAGTAGTTGTATAGCTTGCAGATCAGGTCAGTCCTTTTGACATGTATATGCCAGTTCTGCCTGCAGTGTAGGGGGGCAGGATGCTGTCAGTCAGGTGTGCTGCCTTTGTTTACATGGAGCCCGAGAATTACACCGACAACTGCTGGCTGCTGACTACATTCTCTAGCGTAGCAGCATCCTCAACGGAGACATGCTACAAGAGAGTTGCGTCAGGTATGTGCTCATACATGCGCCTCACTTTGGCAGTCTAGCATTTCGAGAATTCTTTCATTTTTTTTTGGGTTGTATTCTCGAATCCATCCATGCACTTTGTACTTCGTACGGCAGAGACAGGTACCCTTATGCATATTACACAAACGGCGAGTATTGCTGCGCTACAAACAACGAGAAGGATGATGGTTCAGGTGACTCCTGTGATGGAAGCACTTTACACGTCAATGGCGTCGTTTCAATGTGCTGCGACATTTGGTTGCAAGGGGTTGCGTGGCGGAATTGAAGGCAGTTGGTTCGCAGACAATCACTGGCCTTTGTGGTTCCTTGTTTCCCTTCACTTTGCACCATGTGACGAGCCCAGGAAAGTGATAACTTCACCAACTGCGAGAGTCCCCCATGCAGCGCGGATGCATTATTCAAGGTGTTGCAGGGCTTACGTACTGTAGAGAAGCAGGAACATTTTGGATCGCTTCGCTTGATAGTCGGCTCAGGTCCAGCTTCTTTGTATGACCTTTCTTCGAACTTGATTGAAGTCTAGTTGAGTTTAATGCATGGCCGCATATGTGGGTCTCAAGTCAAGGGCCGCGGAATTCATGGGACCCATTTGTGCGCCCTTGGCCGGATAGGCTTCAGGAGTCGACAGATTTTCTCAATCAATCTCGAGGATCAATTCTTACAGCTTCCATCCAGGAATGAATATCGCGTTCCACAAAATCATGATGCCCCGGGCAAACCCGATTGCAGCTTGATAATAGAGATCACCACACAAAGGGTGAAGTGCTATGGAGCCTAGCGGGCCCAAGGACCAGCCGCTGGTGTAGAGAACGCTTGAGGGGGCGCCGTGAGTGAGAGAGAGAAGATGTGTGCAAGATTGAAGAATCATCGCGGGCGGGGCCCGCGCCATCGGACCATGTGAAGCCTGAGAAGAGCGTGAGTGTGGGTATGGAGGATGACCAGTCCCACCCACCTGAACCTTCAGTGCGTGCAAATGGCCGGAACATCAGAGACTTGTTGACTTGCTTCTGTTCCCTTTGTTGCGTGACACGGTCGGGGGTGAGAAGGTTTGTTCACGAAAGGCCGCTCGCCGGGATGAAGGCTGAAGCATTTGGAGCAGGAGAACCTTGCACTCCATGTATGGTTGCTTACGCGGGCAGGTAGACTGTGGGAGTGTTGGCATGTGTTGGCCTTGTTCAAGAGGGGAAGAGATGACAGCTGCGGTTGGTGACCAGCGAGATGCCTTTTACTACCTTGAGCTGCCAGTTGACCTTCGCCCTTATTTCAATCTTTCACCGGCGCAGGCTAAGCATCTAAAAGCGAATCACTTCGACGCAAACTGTGGTTGACGCAGTTGGCAGTTGTTCTCATGGGCTGGACCTCGACCTTATACCTCTAAGCTGGAAACAACAGCAGCTCAAAAGATGGTATAGGCCCCAACCCTCCACCTGTAGCTCTCCAGGCATCCCAGCTGCTACCAAATGACAATCCCAACCCCTCCTGGCTCTTTAAAGAAACTTTTCCATTCCCCAAGGTTCTTGTATGATTGTGCGACAACAGATTGCCAACGCAAAGCAGGACTTTTCCCAGGCAGTTCAGCTAAATTTTTGGCGCAAAGGGTTTCGCTTGTTGACGCATGGACTGTTAAAGGTAAGCCTTTGCGCTAATCCTAAATTCCTAGTATGCCTGCACCGGTTTCAACCGTCTTTTCTTGATCCAAATGACCGCTAGGGGTCTCCAAAACCATTCACCGCAAGACTGGTGAGCAGCTGCTTCAGAATTCCAGCCCAAGGTGCCGTTTCCATCACGGTCGTGTTCTTATTCGTTTTCAGCTGGCTCGCGCAGCCATCTCCAAGGTGTGAAGTGAGACTTGGACCGCTGCGTACAGCTACGAAGGGGCCAACCGGATCACCATCGTCTTTTGTGAGTCCATCGGCCAGCAATCGAGTTGTTGGGGCCCAACAGACGCGCGCACAGTGACACATGAGCTTGCAAGTTTCTCGGGTGATCGCTATATTGGGGCGGTTTTCTATGTCTCGTCTCGAAACTCTCGAATCTTCAGTTCCGTCCAAAATCGGTGACAACAGCAAACGCATCCATTCTACTCATTGAGATGTCATTTTTGGCCTGATCTGACTTGCATAAAAGCCTCCTGTTCACCCCAAACTCCACAAATTTCACCTTCCTTACATCTTGCGATAAAGGATTCTGTCTTTCAGCTTACGAATGGGTTCCAGAAAGATCGGACCTGTGCCTCCTACTACAGCGTCATCCACATGAACCCCCATCACTCCAACCAGGGATCCATGTTGATCACGATGGGTGAACAGGCGCGGATCTAGAATACTCTGCTGCCAACTAATGAACCCTAATAATTGCATAAGTACTGAGCTCTTTAAACCATGCAGCAGGGGCATCGTTTTGCCCATAGATGTTCTTATTGCGCTTCAATCACAGCGTCCTCCGGAACCCCGCAACGCCGCCAGCTGGCTGGTGTGCAAAAAGTTGAGTCAAGCCTGAATGTATTGGCGATGCTTCAAGGAATGGTCACTGGTCCACGAATTTCCCCCAGTTGCATGTCCGGCGTGTCCCACTTGCAAGCTGCGTGCGTCAAACACATATGGGGAAGTTCCTTTGACATCTTTTTCTTAAGATATTCACCCACGCAGCGTTCCCAAGGCTGATGTTGAGTGAGATCGCGCAAATCCGTTACGTCTTGGACTGACAGGGCTTCATCAAGATCTTCGAGACGAGGGCGAGAGGCGTGGGAGACAATGGCCTCCTAGCATGTGATTGATTCATGACTCATTACATCCGCAACCAGCAGAGGGAAAACTCTTTCATCGCCTCCACAAAACCCTCTTGCTTCAGAGCTGCTGAACGGCGCAGCGAAAGGAGCCGTCTTGACCTGTCCAGAGGACGAACTTGCTTGGGTTGGAGTATGATGCGATGATGGGCACTACCATTGAGCAAGTAAGTCCTGAAGAAGGTCTGGATTCCTACCGAGCACAAAGTGATGAGGAGAAAGCCCAATGGACTTGCAGCAGCATTTGGTTCTTGACATGTGAGCACGAAACACTGTTCTTTCGAGGTGGGAGAAAGCTAGTCAAAGTGATCGTCTGCAACTCTATTGAACAATCCCCCATGGGGCTCACAAATTTGCGTATAATTGCCACTAAGCACGAACTGCAACGCGACGAATTTGACTGCCTTCCAGTCTCGAAGAAAGGAACCGCGCTCTGAAATCTACTGGCGGTGTCAACGATGGTTAGGCAACCATCCTTTCAAGTGTTTCTCATCCAGAGCTATCTGGTGGTTGAACTCAGTTGCTCAACAGGGTGTCTTCGGTTTATGGGGTAATTGCTCAACGGTGTCTAAGACGGCCCGAACAAATTTAGGAGGATTTGTGCGAGCGTACTCACTGACGCTTGGAACCCCTCGACCACCACCGGCCACAGTGTCAGGCACTGATGATTGCTGCTTCCCCTTGTGCGCGTGAGACCTAGGCATTGCATAATTATTGGAATGAGACCAGCAATCGGGTTCTTTCGCGAATGAACCGCTCAGAGTTTGGAAGTCGCAGGTCATACCTACACATGTTATAACTTATATAATAACATCTAATTTACCTACGACTTTGAGCTTTCCGACGCAAATGTTCGCATCGACCCATCTCAAACTGTTCAGGTGGAGCCGCCCTCCTTCATCAGTGCAAGGGGCACATAATACCAGCCAGCAGGCTAGGATGTGAACGCTGTGGTGTGTTCACATCCTTATGACGACGATCGCCAACCCAGTATGAAAAACTCAACCCAGACACAGACATGTGCAAGACGCGGGATTTGGGTAATGGTCCTACGCTATGCATGTGGGCCATCGGCTAAGCCAATCGCCCTTCTACGAACCACTTCGGAGAAGGATTTCGAAAGCCACTGGCCTGCGCAGCACAGTGCTCCTGAGCCGAGACATTTGGCCCTGGGCGTGGTGAACTCTCCTTAGTCATCTTGAAGGCGCTAGTGCTGCGGGTGTAGCAGCCGGTTCGTGAGCGTCCAATGCATTTTTTGCATTAAGCCGGATGGCTTGCGTCTCTTCTAAAATCACGCTGCAGATGATGAAGGCTCACTTCTCAACAAATTGACAATTTACTGGCCCAGCTGTTTGTCTTGGTTGGAACGGTGCCAAAAGCATACAACTGGTCATTCCGAAAGTCAATCAGGGTCACGACAAGGTCTTGAGAGTCGATCGGCTGGTCGCCGCGCCGCGTCGTTAGATTGGGCTAGAATTAAAATCATTGGCGTATAACCGTATAGCCACCGATTTGTGAATTGGTGAACTTTGTCAAACGGCGGAACCCTTCACTGACGTTCCAAACCAAGCGCCCACTTTTTCCAGAGTGGCTTCTGGAATGACGGCAACAAAGTTCAGCTCCTCAACCAATGCTGCGCCTGACGCCGAAGCGCTGCCTCCGTCGCTCGTCCCTGAGCCCTTTAATCCTTTGCCGACATTTTCAGACCAATTGCAAGCGGTCGGCTTTTTCATCTCCTGTCAAGCTCCACTTGAAAGGCCCGCTTCACATCACTTGTCTTGCTGAATTTTCGAGTCTTTTGCAGCTTGTGTCAAGACCACGTTGATGATCTTCCAACAGCTGACCACATCACTGAATTGCTCCCTCAACAATGGTTCAACTGGATCATCCTTGGAGTTCACTAGATTACAGTAGATCTGAATCTGGATGGCGTGATCTCAACGCTGCAGCTCTGGCTTCGGGCTTCAAATTGCCTTGGGCTCGAGCAATCGAAGTTAAAGGGCTTAGAAGCATGAGCTGCCCACAGCCTCATGTTCTCTCCTTCAGCAGCTTTCAAGTTGGAGATCTGTCCTGATCTCGCCGAGTTCATCCACCATCTCCTGTTGGGGAAATCTGTCCGTAAGCTGAAACAGGACTTCGTCGCCGCCCTTCTTCTGGTATGCTTCTGGCTCCACAGTCTGCGCGGCCTCCACTCAACAAGGTGTAGACATACTGTGCGTACGAAACGTGTGTCTCGGCCCCCGGTGATGCAGGGGCAGGCCACGCGAAAACCGCGAAAACGCGAAAACGGCGAAAACGAAAGTAAGAGCCTGTTGGAGTGGAGTCAGAAAAGCATGCCCGAGATTGATCTGGGATTGGAGGTTGTTGTCTTGATGTTGATGATTCGGGAATGGTGGTTGTCACAACGACTATTATAAAACTAGTGCTTGGACTTATAGGGTATATATTTATATAAATGTTTCACGGTTGTGGATGCTCATCCATCAATTTATTGAAAGGGGAGTACCATGTAAATATATTTATATATACACATGTCTTATTGTATGCTAACTGTTGAGATGCTCACTGCACATCATTGGTTGCAGGGAAGTACGCGTACTGTACGCGTACAATGGTCAACGTTTACTGTACGCTAACTGTTGTGATGCTCACTGCGCATCATTGGTTGCAGGGGAGTATGCGTACTGTACGCATACAATGGTCAAACCAAGATACAAAATGAATCTTGGCTTGGGGTGTGTCCTTTTTTGAGACCCAGGTCATCCAATTTGTGTAATGTGCATTGGCTGCATCAAGCCAAGATTCCTGACAAGAGTTGCGCTCAATCTTGTTTTTTTTTTGTTTTGTTGTTTTGAGCAATGTACGCGTACAACGCGTTTGTACGCGTACTTTCCGGGAACCAACATGCAGTCAGCGTCTCAAGGGTCATCACGCAATAAGACATGACACAAATAGATCAAAGTATGACACGACTATAGTCCCATCAGGTTATTTTGAGAAACATTGTAGGACTATAGTCCCATCAGTTTATTTTTTGAGTAAAACACTGATACAACAAAACTGATGGAGATTGACAGGGCTAAAGCCTTTACATGGGCATTTACACAGACTAAATTCATACCGGCTTTTATGAGTTTGATAGTTAGAACATTACAGGGATGACATTGACATTAGCAAAATATCTAGTTTTACATTGTATACGGTGGAAGTGAAGGCATCACATGTTGTTCAATAAGAAGTATAACTTAATATATGGAAAGTGTTTAAGAAAACTATTGGAAGCAAACAACGAAAATATTTTGTTACAAAACTCCTTCATTCATTCATTCATTCATTAGGTCAATTATGACCAGATTGTTAATGAACTATGGGAAACCGATCTTACTAAAGATGACAAAAAGAAAATAGGAAACATCACAACACCGCACAGAAGCTACAGTTTCACACTTTGAGGGAGGCTTGCCATTACCAGAGGGAGTTTGGAGGAAGGGTTTGCGCCATACAACAAGAAATAGAAAAAAGAAGAAACAAACACACAGTACCTATTGCATCTTAAACACAACCAATCGAAGTGAATTTTTCAATGGGCCTAGAGATATAAAAGAGCTGCTTCTTCAATATCATAACTGTTCAATGAATGCAGCGTAATCATTTTTTCAGAAAATGATATTAAGGTCTATTCAGTGGAGAGTGATGCCTTCAGGATCCATGCAGACGGTTTGACTAAAGTGATGGGTGAACCAAATCATGTTATATAATCATATCAGACTGGAATATTGAACTTTGAAGAAGGCATAGGCAAGTGGAGACTGACAAACAAATCAACCAGTTTCCAACCAACAAGTACATATTTTGATATAACGACTTAATTGAAATTCCAAAACTAGAAAATGAACCAACAGAGGTGGTGGATGAATGGGACAACCCCGGAATATGTAAGCAAGTTGAAAAACAAAACCCCTGCATGATCAGATCAAAATTTTCTGGATCGAGTTACACAGGTCAGTAGCTTTAAAAGGTGCATAAACAAATTTTGTTTGTAGAGCCTTATAACTGGTTAAGTCAAAAATTATAAGGTGACGCAACAACCCATAACATGTTTAAGAATTCCAGTTCAAAAGCAGGATGAACTACCAGAGTTTGATCATAGCAATTTTCATGTCATTGTCTTTGGTGAAATCTATATGACCAATCTTTTAATGTTTAAACTTTACTGAAAAGCACAAGGACAATAAAATCATCATAGGCGCCTGTGATACAAAACAGTTAGAACCCATCAATGATTTAACTAACACCCAGTCAAAGACCACAATATGGTCAAAATTGTGCTCAGTTTGTTCTCTGAAATGAGTGAAATTGTCCAAAAGGTTCATTTGATATCTGAAAATATCACTCAAACAGGCATGCAACAGGCAAACAAGGTAGATCTTTGGGGGGGGTAGCTACATATATAGATATATAAGAGAAGGTTGGACAGCCTCCTGCCACATCCTGTTGTTGGGCCTCTTTTGAGTTGAAAACCTTCGAAAGTGGCGAAGACCACGAAAAAGATGACTGCGCGAAAACCACGAAAACGGCGAAAACGACAAAAACGTGCAAACGGCGAAAACCGCGAAAACGGCGAAAACGACGAAAGTGGCGAAAACGACGAAAACAGGAAAACAGCGAAAACGACGAAAACGGCGAAAACGACGAAAACGGCGAAAACGACGAAACCCGTTTTCTTGCTTTTCTCGTTTTCACGCTCAAAGACAAGACAAGCAAGAAGACGTAAGAAAACTGGAAAAACTTCCACACGGCAAAACGCGAGAACGGTTTTCTCGGTTTTCTAGTTTTCTCGGTTTTCTGGTTTTCTTGGTTTTCTCGGTTTTGCCGTCGCATCGCGCGGGCCACGACGCAGGTTTTGTGTTCTTAGACATAGGCCCTCGACTTGCCTCCGGAAGCTTATCCCACACTTTCCATCGTTCGCGACCATCTTCTTTCCTTCTCTCCTGAGAAACGTCGAAGGCGTGCCGAGTCTGAGGCGCCGGTCGAACCTATCGCTGTGAGGTCACGTGTGAAGACACCCGCGAAAAGGCCAAGGCGCCATGGCGAGCCGGCATTTTACCGGGCTCCGCTACCAACTGCGCAAACACTCCTCGGGCTTGTTCCTCGCTCGATCGAAAGGAAAGGCTTCGGCTGGACACAATCCATTGCTGGCGCAATCAGCGCCTACAATTTTTCCGTACGCCGTCTACGCCGTATACACCGTCTACACCGTTTACATCGCCTACACCGTTTACACCGTCTGTACTGTCTACACCGTTTACACCGTCTACGCCGTTTGCACCGTTTACACCGGTTACACCGCCTACACTGTTTACACCGTCTACACCGTCTACACCCTTACACCGTTTACACCGTTACACCGTCGACACCGTCTATATACACCGTCTACACCGTCTACAGTCTACACCGTTTACACCGTCTACACTGTCTACGCCGTTTACACCGTCTACACCGTCTACGCCGTTTACACCGTCTACACTGTTTAGACCGTCTACACCGTTTACACCATGTACACCGCTTACACCGTTTGCACCGTCTACACCCTTACACCGTCTACACCTTTCACATCGTCCACACGGTTTCCACCGTC